GTTCCAAACTTCTAAACTATTCTTTGACGTCAACGCTACTGCACATTTAAATCTTGTCGCCACGTCTATCAGCACCAAGGTGTGTAAATACACTTTCCCCTTTTTCTGATCATCATAAACATGAGGTAATAGATCACATTGGTGTAATTTATTAGGAATTCGACATTTAGAAAAGCTAGCCTGAGCCTTAATCTTTGGTGGATGACGATATATTTGGTAATCATACTGATTTTCTAACCACTTTGTTATATCTTTGAGTCGAAAATGACCATACCCTTCTTTTTTGCACGCCTTTTGTAGAGCTTTCACATTCGGATAAAACCCGGGAATATTATAATAGAGTGCACGACAAACTATAGCTACCTCAGCATATGGATCTATATATATAGTAGGTATACTCATTTTGGCTATACCTTTACTTTGTATCAATATATTATGCCGTAAAAAATAGCTATGGCATTTCGTCGACCACACCCCAATCGAATATCTCATGGGTCAAGCTCTGATCGGGAATTGGAATTGGAGCAGGTGAATCAAGCTTTGAGAGATGAGTTATCTAACGAAGTTTCAATCAATAAATCGAATGAGAAATATATAAAGGATCTGGAACGTAAATATACCAGGTGTGAAAATGAAATCCAATCCCTCAATAAAGAATTGGAACAGCTTGAGAATGCTTCGAATGAAGAAAAGTCAGAGTTGAGATCGGAGATATCGTCCCTTAAAAGGAGCTTATACCAAGCTAAAAAGGAGGTCCGAGATAAGATATCTTATATCGATAATATAGAGAAACAATTACAAGAATCAGAAGAGCGGATTCAAAATCTAAGGCATAGATTCAAAGTTATTTCTTCTCGAAGAAGCTCTCCAAGTTTATATAATTCAGAAGAGGAAGATATAGATATGGAGAATCTTGATCTTTTTATACAAATCGAACGAGGCTTGACTCGTATTGAAAATCACCTTAGAGGCGCTGGAACACCGTTAAATAATCCTATAAATATTATAAATGGCATTAGAGGTTCCTTAAATACTGTTCGGCATAATTATCAGTCTGCATACCAGGATATAGATGGCGTTATTGCTCAACGAGATGACAGCAATAATCAGATAGTCCAGCTACAGCAGGATGTCAATTACTATAGACAACAAAACGCCGACCTTCAGAACCAAACCAATCAACTTATTCAAGTACGAGATACCTTGCAAAATCATGTTAACCGACTTACACTAGAGCGTAACAATTCTCAAAATAATCTTGCTTTAATGACTACAGCTTATAATAATGAGCGAACAGAATGTCGTAGATGGAGGGGGATCGCTCAGCAATTTGAAAGAGGAATGCAGATGCGGATTAATAATTTATTACTTGAAAAATTTACACTTAATTTTAAACTCCGGAGGTGCCAAAGACATGGTAGAGAATTGCAACAAAAATATGATATGCGGGGGTATTTGTGGCATAATGTTACTTTGGTATTAGAAGAGCAATTTAAACTCAGACATGCTTTCGAAATTATTTTTAAGGCATTCATTTATCGCTTAGAACAGGAGCTACAACAATGTCGGGGTGATAAAGGATTATTAGAATATAATCGTGATCGGCTCTTTGATAGATACTACAATAAATTCAAGGATCGAAAAGCAAGTCATATCAAGTGGAAAAATAGGGAGCGCAATTCTCAGCAATTAATTTTAAATTTACAAGCCCAAATTTTATTACTACAGAATAATCAACCTATAAATCTGAACATGGCGGCCGCCGATAGACAACATATTTATCAAACTATTCAAACAAGTCTTGCCCATATTCCATCATATATTGGACAGGAACCACCGGATGATTATTGTAATAGGATTGAAACAGCCATCAGCTATACTGATACAATGATTGCTGATGCTAATACTGCAAATGCCAATACTTTTACTGATGCACATAAGGCAGATATTTATAAATCGAAAATGGCGGGAAAGTATTTACCAGTTCCACCTCAACATGCAGGAAATAATATTGATACTCCAGCTCGCTTTAGAGCATGGCTTGGAGATACCTATCTACAAAGAACAGTTGGTACTCGCCAGTCTGCTATTCAAAGATTATCTCAAGAAACGTTTAAGACTGATGATAATCCAGAAACATATGAAGCTAGAATTCGTCAATATATATTAGGTGTGCCTGATGATGATGCTAATGCTTTGGGATTTCTCATGGCTCATTTACCCAATGAGCTTTTTATTCGAATGGAAGGAACAAATCCTGGTGGTATCACAGCTTTCTTTACTACACTTAAAGAATTATGGCTCAAGCGTCAACCATCACTTGGCTCTAGAGGCTCGATTCCCAATCAAATTCCTCAAACTCCAGCTGTTAATATACAAAATAAATCACATTCTGATAGTAGTGATATAACTCGAGCTGAAATAGATATGATAAAATCACAATTAGCTTTAATACCAACCACTCTTCCTCAGTCTACACAACCAACTTCTCAAAGACAAGAAGGACAATTATTACGACCCAGTCAAATGGAACCAGGTAAAAAATATAGGGACCCAGACCTACGCTTGAATGACCAAGAATGGCTTCGAATGGATGAAGCAACAGATCGTCTTAGTGCTTTAGCAGGGCCATCTACTTTACAATCATTAATGGATACTATTAGTAAAGGAGTAATGGATAGAATTACGCCTTTCTTACCCAATAAGAAAAAAAATACTTCTAATGATGATATGGATGAAATTACTAAGGGTATGGCAGAATTATCAATAAATAAGGCTATAGCAAAAGGTATTGAAGCAGGTGTTAATGCTGTTATTAAATCATCCAAACACCGTTGTTCGAATTGTAATAGAACTGGACATAATTCTCGCAAGTGTACTCGTAAGAAAAGGTCAAAGAGTAGATCCAAAAAAAGAGGCAGTGTTAATAAGGTTGCTGTAGATTCAGGTTCAGATACAAACTCTTCCGATAACGATTCTTCAGATAATAACTCCGATTCTGGGGGTTCCTCGTCTGAAGTTGAATCCGATCATAGTTTTGATGTACACTTCTCTAGATCAAAAAAAAACAAGTAAAGCGGAAGGGTAAATCGGATAAATCATTATCTAAAAAGTCTAGTTCAAAGAAGAGACAGAGTCTCGAATCTCCAATTCAACGTTCTTCACAAAAAATGCAAAAGAAATCAGGTATGATTATCGACTCACAAATTCGAAAAATTATTCTAGCTATGTTTAACGATCCAGAGGTTATAGAAACTATTAAAAACAATATTAATAATACAAATTTATCTATTGCGAAACCTGACTTTATAAATTATCGAGAGCCGGCCCCAGAAATACCCGAATCAGATGATGAAGAGGAGACACTGAACGATCCTATGGAGATTGATTTTGTTCGAAGAAAGGAACCTGCTACAAGTCTTGCAACTATACCGTGTAAAATCAAACGCTTAAAAATTCCAGCATTGGTACTCGATAGTGGGGCTGAACCTCCAATTACATCAGAAGATATTGTTAAACGTGTAAATTGGCCAATTGATAAATCAGAAAAATATGATCTTAGTGGTGTTGCAACAGTTCCAACAGAATCTATTGGCATTGCTCGTAATTTCCCAATAACATTCCCTCCAGGTTTTACTATACGTGAAGATTTTGTAGTTGTACGTGTTCCTAAACCAACATTGATATTCCCAAACCCACTTCTCAAGAAATATAAATGCGCTATAGATTGGGGTAAAGATGAGTTGAAAATTCCTTTTAATGGAAAGGATCATATTATTCCGGTTACTATGCACAAAGTAAAGAATAAACTTGAAGTGAATTGCGCTACTGCATCTCAGGATGATAAGCCTTTGGTATCCGATCAACTTTCTCAAGAGACGGATAGTGATAAGGATAACAATGTACCATTAGAAGAATGGCATGCTCCTGTGGGTTTTAGCTCAGATTCTAATAATTCGACTTTAAAAAAAAACGCATGAGTTATGAGGAGTTAGAAAAATCGCTATATGAGGTACTCAACTTCAGGTTTAAATTAATCGAACTCAATAAAAAATTGCGACTTCATAGAAATAAACCTGAAGACTTTTATGAGAAGGTTGTCAATACTGATATAGAAAAGGCGAAGATAGATTAGTTGAGATTTAAAAATCTTTCAGACTCGCGTTCGGCTTCTTCTGCTTCTCTGCGTTCACGTTCGATTAAAGTATACATGTCATCTTTTCCTCCTACTTTTTTTGTCAGTTTATTGACCGTGTCAACCCCATTGATAACATTAGGTAAGTCAGAAATTCGAACAGATTTAGATCTCAGTTTTCTATTTTTAACCCGCTTATCAGAAGTAACATTAGAATCTAGATGTAGGTTCGAAGAACCATTACTCTGCAATAAAATATCTTTGTTAATTTGATGTGTTTCAAACGCTGAAGTCTGCCTATTAGAATTTTCAGCTATATTAACTTGGCCAATATTTGGTAAGTGTGATTCAGGTATAGATAAATCCTGATTTAGGGGTGCTATTGAATCTGATATAGGCTGATACCATTCTATCATACTAACTTCTTGCCCTCTCCAAATTCTATAAAAACGGTTATTCGTCATAGGGTATTTTTTTCTCAATTCCTTTAAAACTTCAGTTTTGGGTTTTGTATCACGATATTGTATAATAAATTTATAATCTTCTGGTGATAATGGAACCGCATCAGATCGCATACGTTTAACCATGTTAATATTTTTTATAGTATACGTACTATCCATAATATTATTTTTAAAAAAATATTTATACTACACATAGTATCCATAATTAGTATACATAGTACACATAGTATTTATAATATGGATAACTAGTACAGGTAGTATGTATAATACACATAGTACAGGTAGTATGTATAATACACATAGTACATAAATAATAAAGTATGTATACTACATTTCTTGCGTGATTTATCTGTAATTTTTTATTATATATATTTATTACTAATGTACATAGATGGGAGAACGAAACCTTGAGAAAGAAATGCATCGTATCCTCCAATCCTCTTCTAAATTGCGTGAATATAATAGTATGTTGCGGGATAAATATATAAAACAAGATGAGGATTTTGATCAAGAAAGAAAGGGATGGGATCGGGATAGAAAAAAGTGGAGTAAAAAACTAGGAGGGGTTGTTACTGAGAATCAAAACCTGCAGTTTGATAATGCTAGTAAAGCTATTTCTCTTGCTAATTCTAAATTTGAGATTGATATAAAATCCAAGGAAATTACAACACTTCGGTCTATGAAAAAAATATTAGAAGGTAGATTAACATCGGCTCAGAATGACGCAGTTTCGACCCAGGAAGAGATATTAAAAAAAGAATCCGAGGTCATGTCTCTCAAGTCTGAATTGGTAGATTTAAAGAACGAATTAGTTTCAAAGATTAGTGAGCTTGAGCGTCTAAAATCGGAGGCTATATCGAAACCTGTGATTGGTGGAAATGACGAAAAAAATATAATCAAGGATAGTGATCTCAGTAAATATTTTATACGTGGAAAAAATATGGATCCAATAGAAAAAATTGATGGTAATGCACGAAGTGCACTTTCTATGAAAGATATGTCGACATATACTAATGATGAGATTACTGAACTATCAAAAAATGATACCGAGATCAACCCCAAGATAAATGAGGAAACTAGTATTAGCGAAACTAACAAAGATAATAGCGAAGCTAGTGCTAAAGCACATATGCTAGATATATCGATAAAACCCAATGTATCACATATTATATCTGAAAATATGACTCCGCACCTTGCACAGCCGGAAAATAATATATCCTCATTGATTGAATCGAATTCCCAGATTCCAATAGAAGGGATAGGAGCAATTCCCATTGTGGCAGGCACTTTGATGTCACCTCTATCGGCATATATCTTTCTTACCCTGTTAATTATTGCCGTTATGTGGTTCGTTATATTGAGACGTACATGGGGGTTGGAGAGGAAAAGTGAATGGTTACGGAATGCGTGGGCTGGATAACCGAGTATTAGAATTGAACTTGGATATTATTTATGTACGAAAAAATTTAATTCTATTGTATAAGTGATGCTGATATTGGGACTATATTTATATTGAGCTGACTGCCTTGTTCCATGTATTTAGAAAACTCACAAGTGCTAGTTGATCTGTTTTCGATATATGAGATAAGGTAGGTTGTTCAGTAATCATCTCATTTTTTCTCATAGTCTCAGGTTGGCCAATTTTATCTGGGATTGTTATATGCTCTTTATATCGCATATGATATACTAACTTATGGAAGAAAACATCATATTTCTCGATAATTGGGATAAGTGCATTTAGGTGTTTCGTAAAATCGGAGCATATAGATTTTTTTATCTCTTCACTTATCAAGAGATTATCGTTTTCAGTATACGCTCCAGCATACTCTATAAACCTTTCCCATAATCTCTCAACAGTATTAGTTGCCTTAAAATCTTCAAAACTAAGCCATTCTCCATGAAATATCTCATAGGTATTACCTATCTTCTGATGTAATATAGATTGTGCGGTTTTGATTGCATTCTTGTAAGCGCGTTTGTAAGCATATCCACGATTAGATATTATTTTAGGAGCGATTCCATTTATCACATTTATCTCCTTAATATATGACTCGAGCCACTTCTTGGCCTTATTTTGAGCATAGGTGTCAACCTGTTTATATTTCTCATCTGAATCGGTAATCTTCATGATTTTGTCGGTAGATGGTGGTTCGTATTTTTTATCATACATGATAAATCGGGCGCAAAGCCCATTAATAGTATTTTCGAAGTAATTGGATAGATCCAATCCCCTATTTAATTCTTTTGCAACATCTGCGAATTCCATTTGATCAGCCTTTCTTATAGTGAGTTTAAAACCAGATAAATCAAAGACTTTATCGGGATAGACCATTACATAACTAAAGCGTTCCCCTGGATCAGGAATCTTGTTTTTATATTTTTCTTTCATTCGTCCTATAAATCGCTGGACACGTTTGTTATCTACATTAGGTTTCCATGCATCAGTTTCTATAAATTGCTCAAAATTCCATTGCCTGGGATTAGTTATACCCTCTTTAAGAACCTCTTCAACGATCTCATGGAGTGTTCGATTATTGTTAATATCCATTGCACTCCACATAATTCGATTTCCTATAGTTTTGAAAAGTTGCGACTTACCTTGCTTCACTGTATCGATTCCTTTAATAAAAAGATCTTTGGGCTTGAAGTTTGGAACTTTTTTATGTGGTATTCCAAAATATTTCTTTTTACCTGTAAATACTACTGGGAATAAAACTTCTTCATAAGCCATTTTAAGATAGGTCGACCTATTCTTTATTCTAAGATATGAATTCACATCATCACGTAATTTCTCCATTACCTTCATGGTAATTTTAACCATTTCAGTCCAATACTCCAACTTTGAAATTGTACCTTTACCATCATTATAAGCGAGATCACATTCTTTATAACAGTCAACAGGACAGGTGAGATACAAAGAATCAGTGTCCCCATATTTTATTCCAAAACCTTTCTTCTTGGTTACATACTCAGCAACAAGTTTAATGTTATATTGTCCTGCCGATGTGACACCACCGGCCAATTGTAGGAAGAAGAATGGAGATAGACTATTACCTGCTTCCCCATAGAAGGTATTCATATATATTTTTACTGCTTTTTGTTTTGAATCTAAGCAAGTGTAGTCGAAACAAATGGAATCATATTCTATTTTAAAATTCTCATAAGTTTCATTAATAAGAGGAATCAAGATTTCATTCATATTGGTACGTTTTTCTTTATCTTCAGCATTTTTTAGGATATGATCGATAGCATCAGCCACTGACAAACTCTCCTCTTTTATTTTACTAATTACCAATTCCATATACTCTTTTTTGTTGCTAAGTATTCCCAATTGAGCCTTCATCTTATTTCGTTTATTAAGGAGTTCTTTTAAAACTGATGGATATAACCCCATTTTATTATTTTTATTTCCATGTCTTATAGACCAGGCATGTAAAATTTGGCCATTAAAAAGGAACTCGATTTTATAGAGAATTTCTCCAGCCTTTTCTAATACACCTGCCTCTTCTGCTAGTAAAGTCATTGTTTCTGGCGAGAGATTATAATTCATAATAATGCTTGGGTATAAAGATGCGAAATCTAAACCTGTAACAGGACGTTTGTTTTCTAGACCCTTATCTGGAGGAAATACATAGGCTCCGGGAAATGTTCCTTTTTCTGTCCGTTCGGAAGGAATCATAGTGATTAATATATCTCTTTTCCACGCTTCGGCACCTAATAGATTACATACCTTCATACCCCCTGCATAGTAATGTGAATCGAATAAAGAAACATATGCAATTGAGGCCACTTCTCTGTAATCATTTATTACGTTTCTCTTAACCATAAGGCTTTGACAACTAAGAGAATCAACAATACAATACTCAGCAATTTTACGTATATTTTCAGCAGTCTCGGGTGAGGTATTCTCCTTACTTCGTGTATAATATTCTCTCATAGCTTTTATTGACAAATCTATTTTACTATCAAGATCATGTATTTCTAAGAAATAGTTAAGTGATTTTTTCTCAGATTTTGGATAAAGTTTTTCACAGCATACTTTTACATCAATTGGAACACAACCGGGAACCTTAAGAAAAGTGGATTTAAAATGTTCATCTGGAGTGATTTTGATTTTGATCCCTTTCCGATTTTTTATTTTTTTAGGTGCGTTAGCATTCTTACTCTGTGAGTCTTCCTTTTCATATATATGCTCTTTATGGAAGAAATCTTTATAAAAAGGTTCGCCTACCCCTCCGTAATAATTCCAACGAAGTATAGAATCAATCGTAGCCTTTTTTCGTGGGTTTGCTGACATCTTTGTCACCATCCAATCTAAAATTTTCCACTGGGTGGCTCTTTCTACTACAAACGGCCAGTCATACTTGGAACCGTTAAAGGTGAGTTCGATATCAGGGGCTAAAGCCCGCCAACATAATGCAAAGGCCTTTAATAGATTTTTCTCATTTCCACAAATAATTGTAATCCTATTTGGATCTGGTACCGTTTCTATATCAACTAGACAAATCCGTTTTAATGGTTTTGGGTCGTCTTTCCAATGAACAGTTATACCGATCATAAATATGTTATCTTCTTTATATCTTGCTATAGGTAGATGCTCCAAGCCACGCGTTGTGTGTGTTTCTATATCCCAAGCAAGGACTAATGCTCGGTCATGAGTAATAAGTTGGGAAGGATATGTTTTAGATAAAATTGAGGGATTTTCTATGTGACAGAAGTTATTAATAGACAAATAAAATGCGTGTTCACAAAGTGGAGAGCGGGTACTATACGGCATTCTATGGCTATTATATTCGTAATTAGTTAATAAAGCCCATCCAGAGAGTGGAATCCTATATTCTCTAGCAACTTTCCGATAATATGTACTTGTTGTATCGTCCGAGGCGGTTTCGAGCTTTTTTCCACTTTTATTTTTCAAATTATATTCTAAAATAATATTAAGAGCAATTTTTCTTTGTTTAGCAGAAGTTGTAACAATACGAAGGTATGGCTTTTTTTCTGTATAATACCCTCGAATAGGAAATGCTTTTACATGTTCTGTCCGGAGCTCAGTCATGTCTACAGTTTCCCCTTCACTATCTTTTCCATTGGTGATAATATTCTTTATTTCAGTTTCGAAATTATCAATATTCTGGTTATCAGGGACTCGAATATCGAAGAAAACTTTAATACCCGAAATAGTCACTACAGATTTTTGACCATTCACAAGATAACCGTATAAGCGTAAAACGTAATGTGGTTTTCCATCTATATATTCATTATATTCTTCTATGTCACAAGGCATAAAAGGTATGTCTTCTCCATTAGCTAATACCCGTTTAATAGTTGCCGTTGATCCATAGTCATCAATTTCTGTAATTATCATATTGCGACTTGGGTGGACTGGTAAATAATCTCTCCCATTGTATCGATATACTTCGCTTACTTTTTTACTTTCCGAAATCTGTGATTGAGGAAAAGCTTTGGCCCCCCGGTGGTAGAAGGCCCCGTTATTTTCTTCCTCTATCTCTGGCTCTGGCTCTGGTTCTTTCTCAAA